CAAAATCAGAGTTGATTGAAACTGTTTTCTAAACTTCTCTAAACCTTCTCTGTCAAGGTGTTTTGTTGGGGTTTTTTTTCTAGTTTTGCTTTATTTTTTTAAAATCAATTTCTCCATTTTCTTTGTTTTAAGGATGGCAATGGAGTTGTACGTGGCTACTACCTGTCTGTGTTCCTGGAGCTGTCTGCAGGATTGCCAGAGACATCCAAGTGAGTAAACCTGTAGTAAGAACAGACATTATTGGGTTTTTTTTGGTTTTTTTAATTGGCATCTGGAGAGGTTTGCAGAAAATGACCTCAAGTTCTGTAGTGTTGAATGGTGAGACTTGTGTTGTCCATTGAGCTTTGAATTGTGCCCAAAGGTAATACTTTAAAGTTGTTATTCAGTGGCTTTTTTTGAGATAAAAAGCAAGTTGGCAACAAAATTAGAAGAATGTCTGTCTCCTAGTGTTCAATCCAAGAGTTCATTCTACTCCCTGTTACAACTTGCTTTGAACACTCATAATGTTCAATCCCAAAGGTGATCTACCACTCTACTCCCTGTTAATATTTTCTTCCTTCTTGCACTACTTATAGAAGTGTTCAGTAAATTTTTCAGGCTGAATTACCCATTCAGCCTTGCAGGGAAACCCCTTGGAGATGCAGTTCTGGTAAATCTGATCCGTCCAGCGACTCTGACATCTTCATTTTGGTCCCAATCCCTGTGATCTTCCCCTGTGCAGGTATGAGTACCGTGTGGAAATGGTTCACCAATCCACCAATGACCCCACCAAAAACATCATTCGGGAGTTTGCCTCTGATTTTGAGGTTGGAGAGTGTTGGGGCTACAACAGGTTCTTTCGTCTCGACCTGCTGGCGAACGAGGGCTACTTGAACCGGCAGAACGACACTGTGATCCTCAGGTGAGGAGAAAACAACTTCCTGGGGCTCAGGAGCAGAGCTGCTGCTGTTTCTATGTGCCACACCCAACACTGAAATAGGAAATAAGGAAGGAGTTGAGTTTAAAATAGTTGTGACATGTTTTGTCAGAAATGGATTTCACTGTCTGCAGCTTCAGAGGAGAAAATGTGCTGAAGGGAGTTGTGGAAACTCAGAGTGTATCTCCTTGAGGAGAAGCTGAGCTTGACACTACTAAGCCTGAGTTGGAGATCTGTGCCTGAGATGTACAGATCTCTAACCCAGGCTTAGTAGTGGCAAGCTCAGCTACTCCTTCAAGACCTGAATTAAAGGAAAAATGTGCTTCCCCCTCTGTAGAAATGGTTGTAGTGAGCATAGGACAGCTTTGGGAATAGGGAAGTGTGTAAGTGAAGAGAACAAATGCTGTCAGTGGGATTTGCAGTATTAGGACAAAATACAGAAGCTTTATCCATCTGCTTCAAATATTGTCTGTAGTCTGAGAGTTACATTCACACACTAGTGTTGGTTTGTGAAGAAACCACCTTTCCTACAAGACTTACCGTGCCAGTCAGTGTGTTCAGGACAAGAGTTAAGTTTATTTCATCACTGGATTTCAGGTTCTGAGATGTTCTTCTGCAGGGTTTCTCAGGTGGAGGGGGGGAGATGACACCCAAACCAAACAGAGCCCCCAAAAAAACCCTTTTGAAATGTTCCTTTGAAGGTTCCAAGTGCGCTCCCCAACCTTCTTCCAGAAGTGCCGAGATCAGCACTGGTACATTGCTCAACTGGAAGCAGCTCAGACAAGTTACATCCAACAAATCAATAACCTTAAAGAAGTAAGTGGGATGAATGTTAGTGTAAAATCACCTGTTATTGACCAGTCATCCATCACCTGGTTTAGGTTGCAACGTTCACGTTGGTCAGTTGGGTTTATTTGGGTTCTTAGGGGGAGTTTGATACTGGTGTTAGTAAAATAGTGTCTGTGCGAGTCAGCAAAGGTACTTAATTTGATGCTGCTGCTCCACTGGTGTCTTATCTGTGTGTTTTTGTGTATCCTTCTGATATTGAAGAGACTTGCCATTGAGCTGTCCCGGACTCAGAAATCCCGAGGTGTTTCACCTCCAGACACTCATCTCAGCCCCCAGAATGATGATGGCTCTGAAACAAGATCCAAGAAGTCTGGACAAAGCATTGAAGCACTGCTTGAGAATTTCACTGCTCCAGGATTGGCACGAGAGAGCAAGGAAGAGGAGGAGGAGAAGACTCAGCACGAAGACTTTAACGTAGGAATCCTCTGCCTCTTTGTTTATGTGTAGCTGTTTGTGATAGGATATCAGTAGAAAGATAGGGGAACTTCTGAATTGCAAATTTATTATCCTTAGTGTGGAAATAGATAACACACTCAAGAGCTATCAGTGAGGGGTTACTCTAGAGAGCTGTTCCAGAACATGTTGTTCTAAGCTGTAGCTGAAAAATCCAACTTCTCTGTCATAGTCTTTGGTGTGCCTGGAGACCCTTCTGTGTGATAGTATGACACTGGGGAGAGAGAGTTTGTGTTCACAGCTTTTGGGGAATGCATCAAGGTGCAAAGGACATGTTTCTGTATCAAAAGACTTGTTCTGGTTTCCCTGTAGCACGAGCTCTCAGATGGTGACTTGGATATAGACCTTGCTGGAGAGGATGAGGTGAACCACCTCGATGGCAGCAGCTCTTCAGCAAGTTCCACAGCAACTAGTAACACTGAAGAAAATGATATTGATGAAGAAACTATGTAAGTAACCTGAAATGCCTTTCAGCTCATCACCTTGTCTCCCAGGGTAATCATCCTAATTCCAACAGAAACTGGGGAATTTGCTGTATCACAGCTGTGGCGTGTGTGGGATTCCAGTGTGATGTGAGAGGTGGTTCCTATCCTGGAAACAACATCAACTCATACAGTTAGTGCTAAGCATTGAATTTTTGGTCAGCTGGTTACTCTCTTTCTCATCTCTTTATTTACTTCAGTGTTGCATTCTGCCTTTGACAAGTGATAATCTGTGAAGGTTCTTTCCCAAAACACCATTAAGAAGTCTGTGTTGGCACTGTAACAAGAGAGAGGTTTGGTTTTGGGAAGTGTTGTAGTAGCAGGAGAGTGATAATAAGGACAGTTCCTTAGACTAGGGAACTCCAGACTGAGTTGAGCCCATGTCAGATCCTGGAATCCTCATTAAAACGTGAGAATGTGTTACAACACATACAAAAATAGAAGTTTGCAGGATCAGATTTTGCAGTCTGGATGTGTGTGGCACTTTTGGCCTCTTGGTTAGCAAGTCACACACTTAATTACCACACTTTGATTTGTTCAGTCTGTGTGGCTTGCAATGCAGAAAAAACACTGTTTACAGCACTCCATGTTGTTTCAAGGTTTATGCCATAACATTTCACAAGAGCTGAGAAAAGCTAATAATGATATTCTCCTTTTTGCCTCCCCAATCATCCTCCAAGGTCTGGTGAGAATGATGTGGAATATAGCAGTAACATGGAGCTGGAAGAGGGAGATCTCATGGAGGATGCAGCAGCTGCTGCTACTCCTGGAGCATCAGGTATGACAAATGACTTCAGAATTCCCATCTCTGCGAATCGCTGCTGGATTCCTTCCCCTGTTCTTCTTGGAAGCAATGCCAAGCTGTGTGTTCTGCAGGCACTGCTATTTTGGGAAGTGCTGCATCATGTGGTTTGTACTGATTATTGCAGTGTAGCAGAAACACTTTGTTGGTTCAATAGAAAAAAAAAAAAAGAGGGGAAAATCTTTCCAATGTGCTGGTTTAAAAATGATGCACAAGTTTGGAGGTGGCTTTGTGCCTCTCTGAAACCCTTTCTGCTCTGATGGGAAGAGACTGACAAGCAGTTTTTCCTGGTGTCTGTGTGACCTCTGAGTGTGTGACACACTCACTGGGTTTTACTGCACAGCAAAACCTGAAAAACATGGAATGAAGCAAAGAATCCTCACAGGTTAGACAGAATTACATTTTAAACGCAGCAGTGAAAAGGTGTTCTAGGATTTCTTGCAGCCTAGGGATGATTATAGCCCAAATTAGCCATAAGATTCTGAAAGAAATGTCTCTCTATGGAGTATATTTATGTGTGACAAAGCTACCAGAAGTGGCATCCTCTGGACATGGTGTTAATGCTGCTGTGCAAGTTTGCTGATGCTCGAAAGACAGAATTCCTTAACTCCTTCAAGACTCCTTGAAAATCTCTTGTGATCTTGGAAGTTGAGGGACGTGTCTGTCTCCTTCTACAGAGCCTTTGGAGTAGGAGCACAGTGGCTGCAGGAACAGCATTTCTTTAGGAGCTTTTAGGAAGTGATTTTTAACAGCATTTGGAAACGTTGACACAATCTCTTCACCTGAGCCTTTTGCATTTACCTGCTTGAACTATTTTCCAGTCTGAATGTTAGTTCCAACCTGGTTGTGTTGGGAGTTGTTCTAAACTGTAAAATTCAGTCTCACAGGTCAAACTTCCTGTAAAGACTTTGCATCCTTTGAGTGCTGTGGCCACACAGCAGAACTTCAGTGAAGATTTACCCTGCTCAGTTCAATTTGGGACACACACACCACCCACACCTGGGAAGTTTGTGTGCATCTCTTGAGAAGAAATGCTCTTTGTATTGCTGTGTTAACAAATCTCGTTGTTAAGAGGTTTACACAAAAGGTCTGAAGTGAAGCACTTCCCCCTCCCAAAGCCTTTTATCTTCAACTTTAATTAGAAGCATATCTGATTGCTTTCAGAATCCATAAATCCATGGAATACTGATGTCTTGTTAAGTTTCATGGAATCTTTTCATTCTTAATCTGCTTGGATAACTCTTCTTTTTATTTCTTACAGGGAATAACTCATCCCTGTGTCACACACGTGCTCACCCTTTCCCTGTCTCTCTTCCCTAGGCACTAGCCACAGCTACACCAGTGCCAGTGGGAGACCTTCCCGGCGAGGAGCAAGTGCCCTGGGCTCCACAGCCAGTAGCAGTTTGCTGGATATAGATCCCTTAATTCTAATCCACTTGTTGGATCTAAAAGACAGGAATGGTATGGAAAACCTCTGGGGCCTTCAGCCACGTCCTCCTCCCTCTCTTCTTCAGAACAGAGGTAAGTGCACGTCACGTGTGGATGATTGAATTCCAGCCTGGAAATGTCTTGGTGTCTTGCAGTGAGGAGCAGATTTGAGGAGGGGGGGGAGAAGCAGATGCCAGGCAGTTCTTTCCATGGATAGCTAGACTCCATTCCCTCCTCTGTGCTCAGCAGTGTGCTGCAGCTTCCTGCCTGCTCCAGCATGTTCTTCGTCCCAGTGGCTGCCCTCGGCTCAGGAGCACTGGATGACTCAACTGAAAGCAGAACTGTGTATCCAGGAGGGTCTTCCCATCCTCTCCAGGAGGATGGGGCTGAACTGGGTTGGTGGTTTGTGTGGCAGAGCCACAGTTCAGGCAGATTCTGTGAGTGCAGCAGTGGGAGATGACCGAAAGCCCTTTTTTCTGGAAGGGGTTAGCACTGAAAGCCAACACAACACAACTCTGCTGAGGCAGCAGTTCCACCTCTCTGCACACAGTCAGTACACAGAGTGGTTGGGAGTACTGGGAGCACAGTGCAAACCAGCAGAATAAGTCCTGGAATTGACTTTTGCATGGGAAAGGCAATTCAAACCAGAAGAATGTGTGCAGTGGTAAGGCTGGAAAGGCACATGTGAGTGCTTGTGGAAGGGAATGGATCAAAATGTCAGGAGCCAAAAATAGTGATGGCATTTAAATAATTGAAGACTTCTAAGAGTATTTGTGGTTCAGTTAGGACCTTTCAACCAAAAACAGCAATTAACTCCATGTGAGGCAGGAGCACATAACTGGCAGTCCTGGCACTCGTGGCTGCTCCTTCAGGCTGCTCCTTCCTCTTGGTTTGCTAGTGAAGAATAAAAATGGAATCAAACCTCAATATAATACATTTATCATGATTAGCATTTGTTTGGAGCTGCTGCAGCTCATTTCAGGTCACTCTGAAACATCCATTTGCTGATTTCAATAGAAGAGAAATAATGTCCCTTTGCTACAAATAATGCTTGTTTTTGCTGCCACGGTGCCCTTGGTGTTACTGAATCTAAAAGCTGGCTCAGCTCTTTGTTCCTTTGTGATTAGCTTTTTAAAAGGAGTTACATAAGCAGCCATGAATTTTCAATAGATGTAATCCATATTTCCAAAAATGGAAGTCACTTCCAGAAGTATGGAAAAGGAGGGAGCAGCACATGAACTGTGAGTCTCAGCTCTGTTTGGCCTGGAAAATGCCCTGGACAAAAGGAGCCTAAGAGGGAGCATTGCACTCTGTGCTGTGGCAGTTGAGCAGGATGAAGCTCTCCTGTTGTGCTGAGTCACACAGCAAAACAGTGTCCTGGGCATCTTTAGCTACTTGGCTAAACAGCCTAAATCTCTTGTTTTGTGGAGGTTCCCTTGAGGTTTGACTTGTCCCAGAGCTTTTTCAGGTCAGTCATCCAAGGGAAAGCCACTGTTCCATTTGGAGTTTGCCAGACTTCACTTCCTAAGGTGAAGGTTTCTAAGAGCCACTTGACTTTACAGTTCAGAACAGCTGAATTTGCAGTGATACACAGTTTATAATGCTTCCAACAGACAGCCAGGTTGGTCTAATTCCAGCTGAGCAAGCACAGAGGCTTACTCAGGTATTAGCTCCTCGACCTGATCTTTTGGTGTGAGAGACTTAAGGGAATTCCTTCCCTAGTTTCAGCTTTCTTTGAGTTCTCTGTTAACATGATATGTTGGTGCTATGAGAATCTTACACACACACACTCAGCAATTATTATAGTAATATTGAACAAGTTTGACATGAACTGGAACAACCTGGTTGTGAACTCCCTAGTTCAGGTGTCACCAGAATTCCTGCAGCAGTACTAGGAGCTTTGCTTCTTCCAGTCAGCAGGTTTTGGGACCTTCTTCTCTGACAAGGAACAAAACCATGCTGTCCTGGGAGCTGTGCAGTGCTTGCAACCTCAGTATGATGCCATAATAGGACAGGAGAGTTCTCTGGCCCTCATTTTTACAGAAGGGCAACAGATGGAATTCTTGTAGCTGTTAAAATATGGTGTCTGTGTTTATCTGAGAATGGTTTTCCTTACCTGTTGTGTTCTCCCTTTGGTAAAACAGCATCCTACTCCCTCAAGGACCGGGACCAGCGGCGACACCAGGCCATGTGGCGTGTGCCACCTGACTTGAAGATGCTGAAAAGACTTAAAACCCAAATGGCTGAAGTTCGAAGCAAAATGTCTGATGTGAAGAACCAGCTCTCAGAAGTGAGGAGCAGCAGTTCTAGCTCAGGGGATGGCCAGCCCAGTTTTTTCTCCATTGAGCAGGGAGCTCTGGCTGCCTGTGGGACAGACAGCTGCAGCAAGCTGCAGGAAATCGGAATGGAACTACTGACAAAGTCCTCAGTTACCAGCTGTTACATAAGGAATTGTAAGTGCAAGGGAAGTGGGGGGTTTAAATGTCACCCTTAGGTTGTTTGTGTAGCCAAACATCTGGAAATAGAGCTCTTGGAGTTCCTTATACTCACCCTTAGGTTGTTTGTGTAGCCAAACATTTGGAAATAGAGCTCTTGGAGTTCCTCATACTCGAGTTCAGCTGGAAGCATCCAGAAATGTAAACTTGCCCTGCCTTGGAGGAATCAAATGTTGGTGGAGGTGGTTTCAGCCCTTCTCTGTGAAAGCACCAAAGCTTTACTCCACAGCTAGTGACATACCTGATGCAGTGAGAATGTGCTGAGGTTTAGGTCACTCCTTGTTGGCTGCTGCTCTGTGTCCAGGCCAAGCTGTGAACTCAAGGCCATTGTGCGGTGATTGCCAGGGAGCACATTAAAACAGTCCAGACTTGCTATACTTCAGTAACTTGAAAACTTCTAAAATACCAGTAAGGGAGGGTTTGGTTTGGGCTCTCTTTATATTCTCCTCCTGGCTGAAGGGATGTGGATGAAGCTTTGTGGAGGATATCTTAGTGTAAGGCAGGTGAACATGACTTGTGTAGTCTTGGCTGTATCCATAGTCAGCTAAGCTTCCCTCTAGCCCAGGTCTGGGTGTGGAAAGAGTTCTGTGCAGGACTGGGAGATAATGAGAATAATTTGGAGTGAAAGGACAGAATACTGCAGTGCTTTGACTGAACACTTGTCACATCTTAACATATTTTTGCAGCTGCCAGTAAGAAAAGTAGCTCAGCCAAACCTCTTCGCTCCGGAGCCGCAGGGAGTCTGTCCCTGCGCAGAGCCATGGACTGTGGGGACACCAACCTGCGTTTGAAGGGAGACAGTCAGAGCTCTGAAGGTAAATATCATTGCCTGTGTGACAGGATGCATCTTGGCATCTGTGGAACAAAAGCCTTTCACTTGGCAACTGGAGTTTCCCTGAAACTGGTCTGGTTCCTGTGCCTTTGATAGCTGATCTGTGCAGCAGTGCCTCACAGCTGACTTGTAACACATAGTTATGTTCTGATGTGTTCTGGTCTCTCTGAAGATGTTTCAGGAGCAAACTTTACAGTGAAAATCCGGGATCAAAAATGTACTGGTTTAAATTGTGATTTAACCTAAAGGGAACTCAAGAAAACTCCAGATCCATGTGATGAAAGACTTGTATGGTAGTGCTGCTCCTGGGTGTTAGGATGCTCTTCCTTAAGTGCAAACAAAAGGAAACACCTAACACAGGAATTGGTATTTTGCCCCTCTTGAGTATTCAGAGAGGAAATGGAGTGTCACAGTTGTTTTCTTTAATGCTAAATAGATACTTAATGCTTGGGTAAGAAACTGGAAAATACTGTAAAGTCATTTCACAGTGGGACTGTTACCTCTGTGCCCAGTGTCACCCTGGTCCAGGGGGTGACACCACTGCCCTGCTGCAGCCAAACTTGGGGAGAATGGGGTAGAGATGAGGAGAGTGACTCTGAAGAGGGAGTTACCAGCAGAGGAGAAATGTTTTAATGCATAAGATGGGGAAGGATCAGCCTGAACCTCCCATCAGAAATGGCAGGTAGGACAAGCTCTGAGTTCTCAGTGGGTATCAAGTGGCTCACGTTGCCCATACACAACATCCAATTTGAAGAGGGAGGGTGGGCAAGGTGCCCTTGGGCCTGCAGGTGCTTGGCACCAGAGCAGGGCTGTGAAACCACCCAGTGTTGTTTGCAGTAAAGCTGGATGTGCTTTGGGTTTTGTCCCTCCTTGCCCAGGTGGCCTGGGGAGCTCCAAGCTGAGCGGTCGGCACCAGCCGCCGCGGGCCCTGGTGGGCAGCAGTGCTGCTGAGGCACTGCCCAAACCAGAGGAGAGACCTTGTGAGGGCTCAGATTCTGACGTGGGAGTCTCTGGCTTGAGTGGCTTAGCTGCTGTGGAAAAGACCAGAAAAATTGGTGCTCTAGGGTGAGTGTTTTATTCCTTTTCCCTCTTGTTATCTCCTCCCCCACCTTCCCTTGATCTATGAAAACACAATCTACTAAAACCAGGTGCTTGTAGCATGGAAGAGAAATTGCTTTGAAGTTTACTTGGTTGCTGCTGTTCCCTCTGGACATCAATTTTTGGGTTTATAACTAGGTTAGAAGTTGTCTTTTCTTTTTTTTCTTTTTCTTTTATATTGATCAGCTGTGGCTGGAGTCTGACACTTGGATTTGAAAGGCATCTCAGTCTGTTTTCCCACTGTTCCATGCTAAACATCCTCTAACTGAAATTGAATCACTTTTGATTTCCTCATTTAAGAGGTTTTTTCACTGTGGTTGCATTTTTCAGCTGTTTCATGATGATAACTCCCTGTTGGCCAACTAAGCAAAGGGCAATGAAATGCTCAGGTTATTTCTTTCTAAGTAATTAGAGTTAACTTTTTTGGAAAACACTCATCATAAACTTTTCCAGTCAGAGCTGGAAGTTGAAGTGGCTAATGCAGGAGACTTAAGCCATAAGTAAAACTAGATGTGGCACTAAAAGGATTTGTTTCTCTAACTGAATTAAGGCTGAATTTCTCACGTGGGTTTTTCTCCCGAATTCTTTCCTTAAGCTCCAACTCTAAAGGATGTCGTACGGAAGGAGCACAGCCAGGTGGTGTGGAGAGCAGCTCTGAGCCTGGGGAGCTGCAGGGGATGGTGTCTGAAGGCACTTCTGCAGGGCCAGAAGAAGGTAAACTGGCAGTTGTAGAGGGCAGGTGCAGCGTGGCCGCGCTCCGCTCCCTGCTCATTCGCTTCTGTAGTGGAAGTAGCTTGAAGGGGAATGAAAAGGAGAAAAAAGCCCCAAAGCCAACCAACCCCAAAACCTGCTTTCATGGCTGTTGAACTTTGCTGTAACATTTGGCAGCTGTAGAATAAACCTGAATGAGGAGAGAAGATCTCTGTGTCGTTGCTGTCTGTGGAGAAATGGTGGTGTCACCTCTCTCTCTGGACAACCAAGTTGCTTTTTGTTCCTCTTGATGTGTCTCCAGGTCTTTGCTTTGGTACTCAGTCTCATGGCCTTGGAGAGAATTTCTGTCTAATTAAAAGTAGTCAGTGACCTTGGCTGTAGAGTCTCCTGCCTTCAGGGACAAACCACCTTGGTAACTGCCTCCCCATCCACTCTAGAATTGCTCCAGCACTTCATTCGTGCTGGGAGTTGTGGGATGTGAGCCAGTTTCCTTAGAGACTTGAAGGAAACTTCCCCCCCCCCTTCCTGCATCCTTTCCATGCTGGAAAAAAATATTATTGCCTTCTTTTTTATTTTTTTTAAAGTCCACATAGAAGAGTTTTTCTTATCTTGCTAAAACTCTCCTGCCTTCCACCCCTGCACTCATTTGAATTTCAATGACTGAATTGTAGCACAAAGCCTATATTAAGGTGCCAGCATCCATCTCGAGCTGCAGTGTGCACTGCTGTGTGGGAGTTGGCATTTACAGAAGGTCTCTCAGTGACAAAACTGAATCTCTGCTCTTAGTCACTGCAGCGTGATCGTGATGTGCTCCCGTGGCTCTCCTCAGAGCAGGGAGCCTGGGAGGGAAATGGTTTCAACCTGAAATATTTCATTGTTAAAAACCCCAGGAAGCAAATATTACAATTTTTTTTTTTATTTTTTTTTTTTGCCTGTCAGAGGAAAAGCTACAGTAGAGTTCTCCCCTCACTTTGCTTTTCCTTAGCAACGAGTAGCAGCTCTTAGGAAGTGAAAGAACAGAACCAGAGCCTGTGTCACCCACAGAACTGCAGGAGAGGGAGAGTTCTGCCTGCTCAAGGTCTGGCAGAGCCAAAGCCACCAGCTGTTGTGGTCCTGCTTGTTTGTTTTGTGAGCCCCAAATACTCCCTATCAAATATAGTATTGCTCCATGAGTCCTGCTGCATCCTTTATTTTCTGCCCTAACTGCAGAGGAGACTGAGCAGCTGTTGGGGGAAGGAGCTGAGGACACCTGAACCTGTGCTCAGCTGGTGGCACATGGGAACTGCAAAACTCATCCGTGGTCAATGGTGGTACCCACTGCTGGCAGATTGCTCCCTGCTTTGGGAATCCATGGAGCTCTGAACATGCTCCTTCGCTCTGTTCTCCTGCCAGCTCTTGGGATCTGATATTGGGAACTCTTAGGTGTGAAAAAAGTCAGAGGCTTTAGCTGCCTAGATTTCTGCCAATCATTTTTACCTTGGGTGTCTTTTTGGTTTCTCTTGCAGCTGGAGCATGTCAGAAACATGTCCTTCATCTCCTGCCAGGAATGAGCAGTGACAGTGACATTGAATGTGACACGGAGAACGAGGAGCAGGAGGAAGCCACCTCACCCTCAGAGGTGTTTAACCATGCCTTCTCTGTCCAGCCCTCGAGTGAAGGTAGAGTTGACAGTTTGAGCTCCCCTTCCCAAACACTCCCACGTGTCTGTCCCGGAGCTCCTGGGATACAGATCCCTGGGGGGGGCTGTGGAGGTGTTAAAGCTCAAGCAAGCACCAGTAAGATTTGGAACTCCTCTCCTGGGATCCCAATTAAAACAGATCAAAACAGGAGAGGGAAACTCTTTGTAGCCTCGAGAAGTCAGTTTAGGTGAGTCTCCTGGGGAAGGGTTGGAAAACCCACAGCGCTAGTTCCGAGTTGGAGCTCCCTGTGTGCCAGGACTGGCACTGTAAGTAGGCTAATTCCAGGGAGGTAACCATTGCCTTAGACATGGATTTGCATCTTAATTGGCAGGAATGAGCTTCGAGCAGTTCAGTGCAGTTTCAGAAAGTCCTGTTGTTCTACATTGGAAAGCTTTAACTTCTGATCGAATGGATCACGTGAGGAGTCGTGAGGCAGCAGCTCCTGTGGGGTGAGGTTTAGGCCTGAGCGAGAGGAGGAAGTGTTCACTGGCTGCTCCATTGCTCATCTGGTGAAGCTGACCGAGTTTTGTTGGTTTTGTGTTCCCCCTCAGAGCACTCCTCAGTGTTGCCAGGCAGCGACCAAGTTGGTTCTGATGATGTCAGCTTTGTTCCTGGAGACGACACCACCAGGTAACTGGGACAGTTCTCCTTGGCCAGTGTGTGAGGTGCTGCAGCCCTGGGGCTGCACCTTCCCAGTGCTGCTCTGTGAGCCACAGAGCCAACACTCATCCTGATGTCAGTCAGGGATGGTTTGACCTCTGCAATCTGCCACCACAAGACCAAGAGCAGTAGGGTGAACCCTGCTCTGCACAGTGTGTCTGTCCTGCCTCCTGTGCCTGAACTGCCTCCAGGTTTGAGGCATTCTGGGGATGAGGGAGGGTGGGCTGAGTTCTGAACACTTTTCTATGATCACTAGAAAACTGATTGGATTGAAGTAGCTGGCATAAAATTGTGAGTAGTAAGACTGTGTTTGCTTGAAGCCTTAAAGCTGCCCCAGTTGGAATGTGTTCAGTGAAAACTGGCTTTGTTTGGAGCAGGTAGAGCGTGGGCTTGGGGCCTGAAGACTCAGCACTGCATCCCTGGGGAGAGGTGTGTGTTTTCCCTGGAGCTGAGCCCGAGGCTGCCTTTGATGGCTGTGTGCACTCTCCATTGTCCAACGCCTTCTTGTGGTTCTTCTGCCTGTCTTAAACCTGTCCCTGGGGCACAACGACCTGTGCAGGCCTTACACTAAAGGTTGCATTCCTGTTGGCTCTGCCAAGCCTCACATGCTCTGAAAGTTGTTGGAAAGGTGCTGAGCCCTGTTTTGGGATGTGTGTCCTGCTGCATCACTGGAACAACCACAAGTGTGCGATTGTCCTCGTTTTGAACACCAGGGACTGGTGGTGCCACTGCTGCGGCTCCAGAGCTGGGGGAGAACAGCCACCACACAAGTTGTTTCCCCTGGTCAGTGCCATGGACCAACTGAACCTGTTGCCAAACTCTTTGCCACTGTATGTTGCATTTTGAGCTGCTAAACTACTTGTGAAGCTCCTGTGAGGGCTGAGTTAGTGACAAAGCATGACCCTGTAAGTACCTGTGCCTGGTGTTGTCCGTGTCTGGCTGCCTGTGCCATGTGAATGTGCTGTACAACTCATAGTTTGAAACTTTGCACTTTGTTAATAAAATGAATGTTGAAATCTGATGTGGAGTTTTAGGTGTTTGTGTGTGAAGAGGTAAAATGGTGAGGACTGGGAGCACAAGGCTGCCCAGCTCTGCTGGCTGCCGTGCCTGGCTGCACATGGAAGGACATTTTTCCTGCCATCCACCTGTCACTTTTTCTTCTTCTCCTGAATTACTCAATGAAAAGCACTTAAACCCCTCTGGGATTTTTAAATCTGTGTTTATAGAAGCCAGACCAAATGCTGAAATCTGCTCTATCCCTATAGGAATTGAGGAGGATGCAGAGTTTTCACCCAAATTTGGTTTGTTTCTCAGCTGCAGAGGGAGCACAGCTTGTTCCAGCTGCTGAGCACCACAGGTGCTGGTGCCAGGCTGCACACTCTGGTGGGTGTTGAGGGTTGTGCAGGGCTGGGTGTTAATTACTGGGTGTTGATCCCTTTTGGGCTGTAAAACCCAGAGCTGTGATGGGCCCTGGGCATGCACAGAAGCCAGAGCTCAACAGTGAAATTTCCTGTTGTCTCTCACACGAAGGAAAACCCCTTTGACCACAGTGAAGACACTAAATTCAGATGTTGATCACTGTCTGTGTTAGCTCTTAAATAACCAGACTAGCTGAGGTGTGGTTTAAATTACTGTTTTATTAAGATATTGGTAAAACTTCAACAGTTTGTTGGTTTTTTTTCCTGTATAAACAGCTTTCATAAATAAAATATGGATGACTAATACATGGTTAGAACTAAACTGGCGGGTGAACTGGAGAACAAGGTTGCCAAATGGAAAAGTCCCAACACTGGTACATGATTAGCTTTAATTTATTCACTTCAGAAAGAACATGGGTCATGAACAAGGTAATACAGAAAGGTCAAGAGGAGCACCCAGGAGCTGACACCGCGCCTGGCTGGCCACGAGCAGCAGTACTCAGGGTGAGCTCAGCCACTTCCCCTGGGCTTGGCCCAAGGTGTCTTCGAGAGGGAAGGAGAGAAAAAAACCGAACACAAGGCGAGTGTGACGAGTTGTACGAGACCCTAACAGGTGGGTGATTGTTTTTCTTTAGCTTTAATGCTGGCAAAGTACAGTGCCATCGCCGAGTCGCGAGGGCTGGAGAGGGAGACAGTGGAGTCAGAGGTCGTTTAATGCTTCATTGTTACTTATTGCACATGATACGAGGGGAGAAAAGTTTTCTTCCTGTTGCAAAGAGGATGTGAATTAAAGAAAGATTGCCCTAAATTAGACATGAACAAAGCTGCAGTATCCCTTTTGGATGGCTTTGTTATGTGACTCGTGACTACATCCTTGTGCTAAAAATCAGCCCCTAATTTAGACCAATCTTTCTCCTTTTGCTTTCCCGCAGAATATTGCCAGGGTCGGGAGGATTGAGCGAGGAGAGAGTGGACCTGAACTACAGCAGCCATGTCTATACACACAACTTTTTAATGCCTCATCTGCCCCTAGGCCAACGCTTCTCACCGACACACAGTGTTCCAGAAACAGTTAGTCCTATGCTGATGCACCACTATAAATGTGGTGGAAGTTAAAGTTTGCTTTGACATTGTCCTTCGGCGTCGCCACGCGACCGAACTCAAATGCTTGAATGGTTGTTTGTTTGTGTTTTTTTTTTTTAACTCGCAAGGACAATGGATGGCACTTCTAGGTAAAGAAAAGTTATATACATGCGTTTCCACCCACCTTTAGTGCAAATCCAATGGGTTAACAGCTCCCTGGTCTGGTGCTATACTGCTCTCTGCACCGCAGACATTCCTCAAGAGTTGCACATGGAAAAAAAATACACAGGAAACTACCAGCGCAGGGATCGTGGCAATCCCTCCCGGTACTCACAGTGAAGAGCTTACGAGTGAGGTTTGAGCAGCTTCAGACAAACACAGTCTGGAGCTCCTTCCTCAAAACCAACGCAATTGAAACAGAAAAAAAAAAAAAGTCATGTTTTCTACATGTTTTCTACTACCTCCTCCTAGTTCTGCAACCAACCACGGTCACCACGTCAACCGAAACCGATGCGGGGTGTGTTAACGCGGGAAAGGGATACTTCAGCTCTTTATTGGAAAGATTGGGGATACAAATTTTCACCACCACTAAAGATACACGATAAAAATACAAAACACAGGTCACAGACTGAATCGCAGCATCAACGGTTAATAAATACAAGGAGATACTTCTCTATTAGCCTAATATTGTACATTGTCACCAGATAAGACAATCAAAGTACGAGATACAGAACACTTAGATACCGTTAGAGAGGGATTATTGCTTACGTCAGCAAGCAGCAAATAAGGGCACAGGAGTCTGAACTGAAGAGAACTACTTCCTATCACCAGTGGCATTAAGAGAAAACACTGCATTTCACAAGCTTTTTGTCTAGAGTGTAGAATCAAGAGCAGCATAATCAGACCAATAACCACTACTTTTAATAGTATAGAACTTTAAAGGACTTACCTTACAAATGGTTCCTATCTATGCTATAAATATGCAGTTAGTGAAGAAATGAACACTTTGCTCTATCTATACAATGGGTTTACCTGACCACACTGGAACTACGATGGTGGATTTTTTTAGGTTTTTTTGTTTTCCTCTCCTAGCAAGATAAATGGGATGAGTCGCAGAATTATCATTTATGAATCCACACCTAAAAAGCTAGATCCTTCCCAAAACAGCACACATGCAGTCCAGTGCTCTTCAACTGCTCCTGCAGACTGGGAAGAAGTTTTTTCATTCATAATGGGTTTTCATTCTAGTTTACTCACACAAAGAATTGCACTTACACCACCTTTCTCTCCAAAACACGACAGTCAGCTAAAGATGGACTTGCAACGAGTCATTATTACTGTGAAGAATTTTAAAACAAAGGCACCACAGAGATGCCTCAGAGTTGCATATTTTACCATTTCATGGTTTCTCAAATTTCCTCGGTAAATCTGACTTGGAACATAAGCTGCAGCTAAAGAGAATGTTGACAACAGCTAAGGCGGAATAAGATGACAGATAAGAGCCAATGATCCCGTAAGATTAAAACAAAGTCTGAAAAAGATCAAAGGAGTCTAAAGCCACACTCCAACTCCTGGTTACTCACAGAGCCTTTTGCTGTTCATCAGATTGCTTTTAAAATTTTTTTGAATTGGCAGAACTCAAGCCTTGCCATCTCGTCGTGTTGAATCATCTCCTGGCTACTTAATATTAAAATACTTTGCAAATTCTAGCTAAGCACTAATACTGCTATTGTTACTGCTAAACTGATACGAATTGCACACTAAGTGCCTACGAACACTTTATTCATACTCCTCCAAATGTCTCACTGTAACAAAGGACAGTAACAGGATCTGGACTTAGTGGAGCTGATGGGAATTGGCTGCTTATTTACGTCCCAGTTAACGTCCCCCCCGTGGGTGCCACAGCACCTTGGCTTGGGGAGGGGCTGGGGGCCTGGTTGGATAAAGATCACTCTGCTCATGCCAACAGGGGCAGCTGATGGGCCTCACTGGCCCTTCTGAACCAGAGCCTTGGCAGTGAATTTTACCCTCTCTGCTGGAGCCCGAGCGCAGCCTTTGCTCATCTGCATCCTCAGCATTTCCACCGCTTTGGATTGCTCCAGTGTCCATTCCTACACCCCCTGCAAACACAAACTGCAGCAGTGAGGCTGCACCCACCATCCTTCCTGCTGCAACGTCGTACTCAGCTAGGCCTTTGCCATCCAGAAATCATTACCAACCCCAACCAGCTCATCAAGCTGCCCATGGTGCGACGGGCGCGGGGGCAGAGTGTTGTACGGAACATCTCCACGGATTGGTTTCCTTTAAGACCTGAGATGAAGTCATGGTGAGAAGAGGTTGGCTCAAAGCATTAAGCACAATCATGTTCAACTAATTGAGAACAGTTTCCTAAACTGAGAAACAAGAAAAATGCCACTAA